CTTGCACTGCTGGCACTGCTGCAATCTCCGGCGATTGTCTGCTGCTGCTGCTGAGGACCGCCATTGTTCTGCAGGTAAACACCAGCATTGCCCAACATTGCCGCCATCCGGTGATGCTGCTGCTGCTGATTAGTCCCATCTGTGTTTTGTGTTTGTTGTTGTTGTTGTAGACTGTCGCCACTGTTGCCACCACCATTATTGAATAAAGGTCCACTAAAGCCACCGTTAGCCTGCTGTAACTGCCGCCGAAGTGTCGACTCGTCGCAGGAGGTAAAACCGCGAAAGTTGGCCAAGTTGGATGGTTGAGGACGGGAGTTGAAAAAGTGATCACGTGCTGCCAAAGAATGATGTTGATGAGAAAAGTTGTTGTGATGAGAGAAGTTGCTGGTGTTGTTGTTCATCATCGGAGGCCACTCATGACGACTGCTGAATTGAGATGGATGTTGAGGTAGTACTGTTGATGATGGATAAGCTGGTGGTGGTGGAAGTGAAGGAGGTACAGGTGAAGTGAGCAGAGATGATGAAGAGGATGAGGATAGTGAGTGGTTGAACACCGGTGCAGAAAACTGTCGGCCCATTTTGACTGCGTCCAGATGGTCTAGTTGTTCATTCTTCACCAAGTTTTGACTGCCTTGCTCATAAAAACCACTACCACCACCACTACTGCTGTTTCCATCCAAGTCCATCATTGTCTGCTTCAACGTCGCTTGCATGTTAGAGTTTGCAGCACCAGCACCAAACCACGGCGATCGGTGGTCGTAGTGATTAGGAAAGTGATTGAAGCCTGAAGCACCACCACCACTACTGCTGCCATTGACGCACCAAGACTTTGAGAGCAGGTGATTGTTGTTGTTGTTGTTGTTGTTGTTGTTGTTGTTGTTGATAGTGTTAAGCCCATCATGATTGCTGCTAAAAGGAGGCGATGGAAGTCCTCCTCCATTGACCATTGAAGCCATTGATGATGGCTGTCCAATGCCACCAGTGCCGCCGCCCATGCTGGGCACGTTAATGGAGGCGCTGAGATTTCGAAACGCCGGCGGCGGCGAGCTGGAGTCAAAGCTGTCGAGCAGCAGCTGACTGCTCATGGCCGCCTCGTCACAGCTGGCCGACAGTTTGCTGTAATGAATCTGAAAAACAGTGGAAAAGTGTGACTTTTAGTGCATCTAAATAGGATGAAAACTGTAGAAACTTTTGTTTACCTTGCTCTTGCCATGCGTCTTCATGTGCTTTCGCAGTGAACTAGGATCGGTGTACCGCTTTGTACAGTGGTGCACCTGACAGGCGTACGGTTTCTAAAANGAGCAGCAGCTGACTGCTCATGGCCGCCTCGTCACAGCTGGCCGACAGTTTGCTGTAGTGAATCTAAAGAGTGGAAAAATTTGGCATTTAGTGCATTAAAATGGGATGAAAACTTTAAGTGTTTTGTTTACCTTGCTCTTGCCATGCGTCTTCATGTGCTTTCGCAGTGAACTAGGATCGGTGTACCGCTTTGTACAGTGGTGCACCTGACAGGCGTACGGTTTCTAAAATGGGAAAAAAGTTTGATTACCATTCGTTAAAACATAGTCGAAAACCAAAAACGTACCGAGTTAAAGTGCGTCCGCTGGTGCTTCGCCCGATCAGAGGAGTTGCTGAAGGCTTTGCCGCAGTTGAGAAAGTGACAGAGGTAGGGCTTCTCGCCGGTGTGCGAGCGAATGTGAATCTTCAGGTTCTCCTGCCGAGAGAAGGCCTTGTGGCAGCCCATATGCTGAAAATATGATTAGTTTTAGCATTAAAAATCTATTTTGATCTCAATCCACTTACCGGACACTTGTTCGGCTTCTCCCCCGAGTGAATGCGCATGTGATTGAGCAGTTTGTAGCGGGCGTTGAAGGGCCGGCTCTGCCGTGGACAGCTGATCCAGTGGCAGGTGTAGTTGTCCTGGCAGTAGCGCTGCTGGTCAATGTGACAGTACTCGATGTGCAGCACCTAGCAATTTTAATGCTTGTTAAAAAAATAAAACATTAACAAGTGTTGACTTACCAGTTGCGACTGCGAACTGAACTGCTTGTAACAGTCGACCCAGTAGCAAATGTAAATGTTGGTTGAAGAGGAGTTAGAAGGTAATTCACCTTCAAATGACGCCGAGGGGTCAAATGTGGACAACTGTTTGGTAGACTGAATGAAGGAGGCGCTCAACTGGTCATCAGCACCACCACCACCTCCCATCATCATCATCGAAGAGGAGGTGGAGGGAAAAGACCGTGTTAAAAAAGTGTTTGAGTTAAGTTCACCCCCAAAGTTGGAGTTTGCCTCAAAGTTGGCCGACGCGTAGAGATGATGCTGGGAGCCGGGATGGTGGACTGAAGAAGGTGTGCCCATGTCCAAGTGTCCATTTCGCCTCGGTTGGTGGTGACGATCATCGGCGTCGACAAAGTTTCGGTACAGTGCATCTTCATCATCATCATCGTCGTCGTCGTTTTCATCATCGTCATCACCACCATTTAGCTCTTCTTCATCGTCTTCATTGAAGGCTTCAAAGAGTGGCATTTGATAGGAGTTGTGACTACCGTTATTGCTACTGTTCAATTGCGTCATTGAGGTCTCTCTGAAGAAGGATTGTTGCTGGTGGTGCATTGACATCACCGAAGAAAGGGGTGGCGGTGCAGGAGGTGGCGTAAAGGAATGGGACTGCAGCTGAACGGGACTGTTGCTGTTTTGTGCCATGTAATTCGGGTGATGGTTTTGCTGGTGATGATCAGCAATCGTTGTCGGACTGAATGACTGTCGAATGCCGCCACCAGGCGAACTGCCGCCGAGGACACCCATAGGCGAGGGACTCTTTGGCAGCGAAGTGGGCACTGCAAAGTTATGCGTCGAGGAGGAGGTCATTTTGGAAATGGGTGAATGAATGAATGAAAAGTGTAGAATTTAAAATGGTAAAATAGAGTGCTATCGAGAATTAGTTGAGAAGAAGAATGCGTTTGAGGCGGTAATTTGAGAATTTACACTTTGCAAAGCAAATCCTGTGCACTCCTAGTGTGTCAATCAAAGCGTCACTCGGGCAAATCAAATCAGAAGAGAACTAAACACAATTGCTGAGCACAGTTGTCAGATGGAAAAACAAAAGAAACGATGTGGGAGAATAGTAAACTATGATGTGACAAAACTAACACAAAAGAATTATGGAATCAATTTCAAGCTCAAGAATCGGAGAATCGACTCAACAACTGCGCACCATCATTTTAGACTTGCACTTGATCATCACTGGCCGTGATGAGCACACCGCCGTTGCTTTCACTGTGTTGCGCACCACTTTTGCACCACTCAAAAGTGGCCGCGCACACGTAGTCCACGTAGTTGATTTCCCATTTGTCTCTTATCATAATTTGGTTCTCATCATCATCATCACAAACAGCTCTACTACTGCTACTTCTAAACAACACTAATTGGCACTAGTCGATTATGCGTCCATTAATGGCGGTATCATCCTCACTTGTAGATGAGGCATTAAGTGAGTGCGGGGTATTATTTAATCTCAAGTGCTGAACGGATCTGTGCTGCTGATCAAGGATGATCACATTGAGACAGTTTTAGAAGGGTCGACCGACGGAGAAGATCAGTGGCGCTGATGAGGAGTAGGATGTGATTGAGGTGGAAGTGCTGACATGGATGACATTGACAGTGGAGAGTGGTTGGTTTGATGATGGTATGATGATGATATTAGATGATCGGGAATCAGTCAGATCGGTGGATGCTGATCTAGATGGCTCCTATCATTTACTAGTGGATTTGTAGCCAACATCGAATGAACATGAATGAACACTGGCAGCATTTTAAGCAGCCGGTAGGTAGGTGTGTGTACCTGAGAATGCAGTTTGTGCAACCCATACAAAAGAAAGGGACAACAAACAAAGTGTGTAAAACGGTTTGAAAAAGAGTACGCTTTACACCTGTATACAGTCCTCACCTGTTTGTCTACAATTATCACACACTGATTTCGATTGCCCTCACTCTCTCTTTTCTTTTCCCTTCCCCTTGATTAGCAATTGATTATGTCAACTGCAATGTCTCGTCAGTGTCAGTTTTGGTTGTGTGTGTGTGCATATGACAATGGCCTGGCAAACTGCTGCTGCTGATGACAGGCAGAAACAATGCTCGCAGGAGATGCTCGAGATGGTGCACCGCACTTCTGCAACCTGTGCAACCAGTGCAGTTATCAGCAGTAGTGCGCTTATCAACAGCAACAACAGCAGCAGCGCTGTTGTGTACATTGCAGTTGAAAGTCGAAAGTCGCCGCTGTTTAAACTTTAAACGAGGCGCTATCAACCTCATCATCACCTCATTTTAAAGTTTTTTTTTCAAGGTAGGCTGTACAGGGTTCCCGAGTGGTGTCTTGAGAAAGATAATGACCAGAGATCAATTCCACTTGAATTATTTCTAAACTATAAACTCGTCGTTCACAATCGAACAGCTCATCAGCTCGAACACAGAAAGTGATTTCCATCAAAGTTAACCACAGTCCAGTGGTTTCCATCTAGTGCTTCTTTCTTGAAGCACTTGAAGCATCAAAACAGTCAGTCAGCCTATCATGGCATCTTGGGCAGTCGTCTTCGCCAAATGGAAAACATCCACTGCTGATGATGATGGTGGTGAACAGAACAACAATCATGGGGGTGATAAGAGGCAGTGCACGCTGCACTTCAGTGCACCATCTCATTAGCCGGTGCTTTTGCCTTAGCCAGCAGCAGCTGAATTATCATCATCCCCACCACCAGCAGCACCTAGTATCACCATCATCGTCTTCACAAGTGTTCGCACTTATCTTCCGAAGAAAATCATCATCACTGTTTTCTCCTCCTCCCAACTCAACCAAGGTGACTGCTGTCACTGCTAAACCGCAGCACTTGCTTCAGTTTCGACCAGCAAACTTCCACTGTACATCAGCAGCAGAAACAGACCAGAAAACAACAATGTCCCAAGGAAGTGAAAATGGTGCCCGAATCGTCGCCAAGTCAGAGATGGCCGCTTTCATGGTCCGAGTGATGACCGCTGTGGGCGTCTCCGAGGACCATGCCGCCAGTTTGGCCGACTGTCTGGTGACGGGCGACTACCGAGGTCACTACAGCCACGGCCTGAACCGACTCGGTAAGTAGGGAACCTCCTTTTCCAAAGATTTCAACTAATTCTAAATACCTCTCTTTTTTCCCCAGAGCTGTACATCAAGGACGTACAGCAGGGCAGCTGCAAGGGGACCGGGTCCCCGGTGATACTGAACCATACGGCGGCCAGCGCCTGGGTGGACGGCCAGGGCCTGCTGGGCCCGGTCATTGGCCGATTTTGCATGAAGTTGGCCATCGAGAAGGCGAAGACCGCCGGCATTGCCCTGGTCACCGCCAAAGGGGGCAACCACTTTGGCATTGCCGGCTACTACAGCACCATGGCGCTGGAGGAGAATCTCATCGTAAGGAAAACGATTCCTTTTTCTAATAAACTTAAACAAAACAAATCATTTTCTTTCCAGGGAATGGCCTTCACCAACGCCTCTCCGCTGGTGAGCGCCACCCGCGGCAAGGAGCCCTTCTTCGGGACGAATCCCATCTCGGTGGCGGCTCCCGGCGCAGCTAAGGGTGACAACTTTG